CTCAATTTCCAATCTTCACCTTGGACTGGAATGAATGATCCAAATCTACAAAATTAGTGAGATATGGTGTCATGTGTTTAGTACAATCATTATCTATTAGCCACGTTTCTCTTTCGATGTGAGTTGCACGACAAGAGGTCATGAACAATTATTCTCCCTCTTGATTTTGTTGCTGGATTTTGACCATGTGACTTACTGTGGTTGGTTTGCTTTATTCTTGTAAACCTTTTCAATATGGTTGAACTACTTACACGACCTACACTTAATGTTTGGCCTGAACCAATATCTATTCTCAGCATGATTTTTCTTCTTACAGTGGGGACATGGTAGATATCCCTTCATCCCACCATTCTTGCCTCATTGGTTATTCGCCTTTTCTTTTCCCTTTCTATCTCCAACAAGCTTTTTGTATCCTTCTTGCACTGATTTCCCTTTATATGAAGCTGTCATGGCTCCTTCACTATTGTCTTCTTGTCTCAGTAGCCTTCTCTATTCTTGAGCTTGTAGGGCATGGACAAGCTCAATAAGGGTAATCTGATATAAATCTTTTAAGTCCTCTAAGGATGAGATTTTGACCTCAAACCTCTCTAGTAGACTCACTAACACATTTTTTACTATCCTTTTATCCGTCATTTCTTCGCCAAGAAGTTTGATTTTATTGACCACATTCATCAGTCAGTCAACATATTCTTTAACATTTTCAGACTCTTGCATCTTCAGCGTCTCAAACTCCCTTCTCAAATTCAAGACATGCATGTTCCTGGTTTTGTCACTTCTAGCAAACTCCTCCTTAAACTTATCCCAAGCTTCTTTTGTTGTCTCATAAGCCATTATTCTTGTGAAAACCAACTCTGTGACAGCCGAGTGTATGTGTGACAAAGCTCTTGTTGGAGCTTTTGTGGCTTCTTCTTCATGTAGACAAATCTGGTTCAACATGGGATTTGGTCCCAGTTGAGTTAGTTGCTTTTCTTCCGCCACATATTGCCAGAGACCTTGTCCCTACAAGTACGTCTTCATTTTAACAACCCACATATGGTATCGCTCTCCATTGAAGATTGGAGGTAAGAGGGAAGCTGCGCTTGATGCTATGAAGATAGGTTTTGTGTTTTAAACTAGAGAGTTTTTCTATAGACAGAAGATGAAAGGGTTTCTAGGAAGGACGAATCTTGGCGAAGAGAATTTGGCTCTGATACCAATTGTTGGGTTTACAAGCTGGAGAATGCAAAGGAAAGAACGCTCACACATTTTTTCATTATCTTAAACAATGTTTATATACACGCTAATTACATCATTGTATACGTCATGGACACTGAGCATATAAATGTTATCCTAAGCTGTAGACATTTTTACAAGTTATCATATTAGAGCCAAACATTTCTAACCAATTTGACATTTGTCAGTCTTATCCCTAAAAAATAGTTGAACCACTTCAAATAGTTGACTGTCTCTGACAACATTAATGATGGCTCTGAATCAACAACCTCTTTCAAGCAGACGCATAATGCTTCTGATCGCAAGCTCATTTGATCGCTTAGACACTTTCCTGTATTGCTTCCATATCACATTACCTTTTGGTCCCTTCTTCCAGATCGCATGCTCATTGTGACACATGCTTATGAACACATCTACTTTAGCTCACGTCCTTATCTAGCACATCTGGTCGCTAACTTCAAATCACAAAGCCTTTAGATCGCAATCCTCATGTTTCCAAAAAAGATATCACATGGCATAACATTCATATATATATAGGAGATAATAGGAGAGAAAGATAAGAAATAGAAGACGAGAACAAGAACTTGATTGAAGACTGAAAAGAGCACTGCCATGGATAATATGGCTTCAAAGAGAAAACACAGGTCGTGCAGGAGATAAACTGAAACATGTGCTGTTTTCGAGTAATAATGATATATAGAATAAAAAGTGAGTCCGATCATGGCAATAGCAACAGCCACAACTGCATATTGAGCCAGAACCAATAAAGATGCAAGATTAGCATCAATTAGTTTTGCCCAACACATCATGATTGCTCCAAACACTGCCGCATTCATACCAAATGTGTTAAAGACTACGAACTTCTCTGATGAATAAAGGAGATTAAAATGGGTAGTGCCATTCAAATAAACACAAGTTTCCTTATCGCTGCCACCTTTATCATTGTCAACACTAGTACCTATTTGGACCGAGCAACAAACTCCATGCTAACTATAATTGTTGCTACCACGAGAAAAGTATTTATCTTATGCTTAACATCTTTTTTTTTATGTTCCATTGCTTTTAACTTTATTACGTAGATTTTAAGTGCCCTAATGTAACCGCTAATCCCGTAGCTATCAATCATAGCAATATGATGGCAGAAAAACAAGATCGATAGCATCGTCAGCTACAAAATTAATTAGTTTAAACTCGATAGAAAATTGAGTAATGCCATATTCATTAAGTAGACTAATAGTTATTGAATTAATATGTTCATTGCAATCATTAATAAATTAATAGAAGCGTTCTGATTCTCAATCTCACCATCATGATCATAAGTGTTTTAGTTGTTTCCTAAAATTAATATATGATATCGATAATAACATCAATATTTTTAAGAAAAATACATTGTTATTGTAACGGCATGGATTTTTTGTATTGCTCTTTTTTTTTTTTTTTTTTTTTTTTAGATTGAAATTTGAGCTATTCTATGCGTTTTATTTGATTGAGCATTTGAGTTTTAAAATTTGAATGAATCATAATACTTATTTTATATGATTTTTTAAAAAAAAAAAATAGAGATATTGTATCTTTGTATAATTGAAAGAGTTGCTTATTTCTTTAAACCAAAATGTATGCATTTTATAGTTTTTTATTATTTAAGTGTTACCTTTCATGGCTAAGGTAGAATATCTTTAGTTCACTAAAACAAAGAAAAAGAAAACTGTCTTTTACGAGAGTACGTGTGAGAGAGATTTTAAAAGAAGGTGCGCGTTTAAGGGGTTGGATTGTGAGTCTGGGACTGGGACGGCAACCACTTCGGAACTTTTCAACTGAGGTTTCTATTTCTGGTAAGCATTAATGTTCTTGTTTAAGTTTTGTTGATTTTACGGTTTGATTGGAATGAAATAGTGTAGTATTACCTTGGTTTTGTATTAGAATAGTAGTGTGAAACTGGATAATAAGCAAGACAACAAAGGTAACCAGAACTCTTGTGTTTATGGTATAATTATAAAAAAATTAATTTGGATTTTATTTATATTTATTCACCATGAAAAGTCTAATGAATAATTGAAGCAACCAAGGTGCGGATCCATGCATGTCCTGCTTAACTCTCTTAATTATTACACAACTTTCTTAATTGATAATAAATTATCCAAACCTTAAAATAATTGTATGCAACATGATTGTATAGATCAGTTTAGAGAGTGGATTTTAAAAGTGATTTGTTAGAGGAACTTGTTTTTCACAAGGCAGAGTGAGTCTAGGGTCTCTCTTGAATTATTTCCAGCTTGGATTTAAGCAATACTTTTGCTACAGATTACATGGGAGGTTAATTATGCGAATATATATGGCTAGCCAAAAGGTACAAAATCCACTGGTTGTTGTTGCCTTACTACACAGTATGACATTAAAATTAAATGAGTAAACGACATATTCTCACCTAAGGTTTGACGAAATTCTAAGTTAGTATCCCAAGTTACATTTATTCTAGATTCCCACCCTTAAAATAGCACCATTAGCAATCTTTAGGGTATAGAGGATTCAATTACCATAATGTCTTTAACCCTAAATTAATAAATTATGTTTTAACCCCTAAATTAGTAGAACTATAAAACTTACTATTTTGTTTTCAAATTATCTCAATAACACCCTCGGTCACTGCACACCCTCTCGATTTTTGCCCGATTTGAGCTGTTTCCGACAACGTCGAACCCCCTAGTCACCTCCATCACCTTCCCATAGTTTTTCGTCCAAAAACCCTCTGGTTCCTGACTCATTGGCCCCTCCAATGGTCGGCGCCGTTAGGCTTAGGGTTTCTCTATTCTTCGTCGAATTCCGATCGATTTTGGCGGCAAAAATCCAATTGGACACCACCACTACAACCAACGTCTCCAACTCTATAAAATCCCTATGTCCACAATAATCGTTTAGTCACCGTTCACGAGCTGAGAGTTCGTGTTCATCGACCATTTTTTGGTGAAGTGGTGGATGGCAAACGGTGAGCTGTCGTGGCTGGGAAGGTTAGGGGTTTTATAAAGGAGGATGCAAGGAGTCAAATGGTGGTGGTGGGGGTGGTGGTTGGGGTTGTCGCCATTCAAAATGGCTGAAATTGACAAAAACTAATCGCATGTCATGGCTACCGTGGCCTGCGATCAGCAAGTGATGAGGGGTTGTGAAGGGTAAGGTTTTGTAAAGGGGAGGTAGGGGGTTCAAATGGTGGTGACAAGGGTGATTTTGGGTGGAAGAATTGCCAAAAAAAAAAAAAGGGCGAAAAACATTGGAGACGTTGTCTGCTAACATACGCCGGAGGACTGTTAGAGGTGGCGATCTGCTAACGTGTGCAATCCATGCAAAATAACCAATTTACCCCTTTATCGTTAAATCAAACACTTTTCCATCACTTTAAGGGTGAAAGTCTAGAATAAATGTAACCAAGGGTACCAACTTAGGATTTCGTCAAACCTTGGGTGGGAATATATCGTTTACTCAAATTAAATGGATAAACCTTGCATTGAATTGAGGTTCTACTTCTTGCATACAGTCTTAAAGTGTAGTGAAAAACCAACTGGTTTCCAGCATGGATTATTGAGATGGGTAATTAATTCTAAAGGCCTTGAAATGGGTAATTAATTCTAAAGGCCCAATCCATCAAAAGCACGAACTGTGTAGACAACACAAATTTGTAATTAGGTTTAGGCTCCATCTTATTGTGGGTATATCTTTGTACTTAGTACTTGTGTTCATTTCATTTTATTCAATGGTGGTTTTTTTTTTTTTTTTTAGATTAATATTTTGTTACAATTCGATTTTAGATAAGCGTACGTTAATATTTAAGTATCTTTTAAGAGTTGAGCTAACGAACTGAAAACAGAGGGGAGAGAGGTTAAAGAAAAATGATTGTCTTGCGTTTGCCAACCTTTGGTTGTCCATTACATCCTCCCTCAGCCAAATTTTGCAGAGATTTTGACAAATCACTATCGCCACTTTTATTTTCTCCAAACACTGCTCTCTCTTATTCCATATTCAACTTCAAATTAAGCTCCAAAGCTTCTCTCAAGTGCTGTTGCATCAAAAATGAAATTAAAGAACAACCCATTAAGGTATATTCACTTCTACAGCCATATTTACATTGTTTTATTGTCTTTTGGAAAGCAATAGTTAGGGTTTTAGTATATGATATTGACCCAAGTTCTAGATGTTACAAGTTTGGGGGTATCGAGTGTGTAACGGTAATCTATTTGTTAAATGCTTGGTTGGTGGGTTTGATTAGTTTCGATCATTTTTGCGTTTCTAAAGCTTGCCCTAGTTAAAATATTTTAAGACTTAAAAATTTAAAGTACAATACTTTAGTTTTGGAGATAATATCAAATGGTTGGTGGGTTTAATTTGTTTTATTCACTTTCAATAGATTTTTACCTAAGTTGTAGACATAGGTTACTTTAGAGTTTAGTGTTGGTGGGCAGGATATGATGCCGAATTTTTTGTTAGCCATTTAGTGGTTTAATTTCTCTCTTCAGTGTGTTGGTGTTTTTTATAAATTTTTGGAAGTGCAACTGACTCTGATATGGGTGAACAGGGTTTTTCTGTGTTGGCATCAGATATCCCATGGGAGAGTGAGAGTTTATGGAGCACTATGGCTATGTATATGTTTAATTTACATATTCCTTTGGGTTATGGAGGCATGTCTGTTGCTGCGTATGTATTGAATCAACCTGTTCTTGAGCCACAGACTCAAGTGGGTGTAATTCTTTGACTCATTTTGCTTATTCTGCTATCTATGGTGACATATATTTACTGTAATATAGGAAGATGATATAATGTTACTGCAGCTTTCACTCATTTAGAAGATGGTTGCTGTCTTTTAACCAGATTCCATTATGCAGTTGCTTTTTTTCACTGTGATGTGAGGCTAAGACTGAGAGTCTTCAAATGCTGAATTTAAGATGAGCTTGCTTTGAAACAGTTGATATTGTTTTCATAGACTTGGCTCTTTTTCAAGGTGGAGTCTTAATCTTGCAATCTCGCTAGTGGGATCATTTGATACTTTGTGGTCTTTTGTATCAGCCCATAATATTCTCTGTTTTTATTATTATCTCTGTCCTTCTCTATTATTTTGATCTCAAAACCAAGTCTGAGACTGTTTTTTTAATTATTTTTTTCCTTCTCTATAATTTTGATGTCCTGAGTCTGACTGCATAAATGAACTAACATTCATTAGTTGGATGTCATTTCTGAAAAAATGGATTTCGGAGAATTTTCTCCTAATGATCTTAATATTTACTTCTTTATAAAAAAAAAAAAAAAAGGGGATATATTGATTGTTTGATTTCTACTAACCCAACTGTTGTGGTGAACTTGTGCTAGAAGTCCTAATGTTTACCCTCAATGCAGTAGAGTTGAACATCATTTCTCTTATAGATGTTGATATGCATAGACAATCCTATTCATGGACCTGCACATTGATCTTTGACCTTATCTTCAGTGCAGGCACTTTCCTTGCTTGTTTTCCAGATCTTAGAACTCAGTGGAGCTCTGTTTCTACTAAGCAGGACCATTAAGCCGCAGCATGACCTTTTAACTTTGTTCAAAGCTAAAAAGTTATCAGAAGAGAGGAACTGGTTGCTGGCATCTGCACTGGGTCTTGGGTTTCTTATTTTGTTGGTTTTCTCTACGTTGCTCATTGCTGACAGATTATTTGGGGCAAAGGTTTGTATAAAGAACCTTTTTTCCCTATGCTCCCTTCAATATTTTTTTAATAAGAGCTGATGCACTAACTGGAATGCGGGATGAAGCTTTCTTGTGACTGTGTTATGCAGCGAGAACTACTAACTTATGGTTCTCTAATTCAATTTAGAGTCTGTAAATACTGTCTGTTGACTATGAGGTTTAATAGTAGGGGTTTAAACTGAGTAATATCTTTCAGTATGGACTTTAGATATTATTGAAGTCTGTCGCAATTAGAGATCAAAGATAAGAAGTTCAGGGATTTTTCATAAAACCATTTATTTGGATGTTTTTGGGTGTTCAAAGGAAATTGAGGGATTTGCTTATTTTTTGCATAGAAATCTTGGCCCAGTCATTATTTTTACCATGGCAGTTTGAACGAGTTCAGCTCTAATATGTATGTGGGGAAAGTTCCTCAATTTAATAAAAGATAGTTTTAGTAGCCTACTAAATCCATGGGAAGAATTGGAGAAGTAAAGCATAGTCATCCAGTGTGCTAGGAAGCTTCATTTTCTGTTCTTTAACTGTAATTATGTGCACCAATGCTTTACTTTAATCCTGCAGCACTGTAACAACTTTTTGGTGCATATGACTCAAATTAGATATGTTGATTGGTTTCACAAGATGTTCTCAAATATCTGGATTTCTCCATCCTATTTTTTCATAATGTGGTGTTTATAGGCTGCCAGCAATTCCATAATGAAGGAGATACTTCTAAGCAGCAACATATCGAAAACTGCGAGTGTCCTTGTTAATTGCATCATCGCTCCCTTAACTGAAGAAGCTGTTTATAGAGGGTTTTTGTTGACATCTCTTGCTGCCACACTAAACTGGCAAAAGGCAGTTGTCATAAGCTCAGCCATCTTCAGTGCAGCTCACTTTTCAGTCGACAATTTTCTACAATTATTTATCATTGGGTGTGTGTTAGGATGCTCTTATTGTTGGTCTGGCAACTTACGTTCTTCCATTGTTATACATTCCCTGTACAACGCCTTGATACTATTGATGACAATTTTGTCTTAAATTTTTTCATCAAGTCATTGTCTTTAAGTTTACTAGTTAAGAAGCTAAATAATATGTAGTGTAAATTAACTTGTTTATATTAATTGTTTAAAGCATAAGGATAAGATGATATTAAAGTAAATACTAAACATAATAGATTTTAAGAAGCAGAAAAAGAGAAATCTGATTTGGAAATAGAAGAATCATATTCATATATATACACATACACACACACACACACACACACGTATAAGTTGAACAAATGCTGAACAAGAATGCTAAATCTATGGTGGGGCTTGAATGCTGAATAAATGCTGAGCAAGAATGCTAAATGTATGAAGGAGAGGGCAAGTCCTAGTAGTCGAAAGTGGGATTGCTCACCATCATGATCAGCATGTAACTGTAAGTCGTTCCGCATCGCTTTTCTTAGCAACAGGCGTTTGAGTAGGAGAAGCATAAGCCACAGCAACAAGAAAGTGCAGCTACTGCCTGTAAGTTATTTTATCAACTTATGATTTAGTAGTGTAGCATTAGTCATGGTATGAACACTTTATTTTGAATATTACACAATCATTCTTGTTTAAATTTTCAGTGTGACGACCTTGTGTTAAAAGTGACCACCTTCTATTATGCTATTTATCTGCTATATCGAGTGAACACTCTGAGTTAGAGTGATCACAATGCATCTCACAAATTTTATTGAGTAACAGTATTGTGTTTCTAGAATGCATCAGTTGTTATATTCTCTTTTGAGATATTTGTGTGGTCCATAACAATTGTCAAATTCATATTCAATGTGCTGAAAAGTTTTATTCTCCTTGATATGTGGCATCTTGATATTGGAATAAACTTTTATAAAGGTGAATTCAATAAAGTTATTCTTTGTCATATGTCCCCTCGCATTGGAGCCCAAGTTTTCTATATATTCATCTTCTCCAATGCAATTCTTTTCAAGCCTGGTTATTTATCTGATATTACTGTGAAAATTTCTTGAGGTTTCTTTTGTTTTGAATTAGGTTTCATATGCCTTAGATAGGCTTACAAATACCTTTGATAAACTTTGTTTATTTGTTCATGGCTAGAACATGGGTTTCCATTGGTGATGCTTGATGGGATTTCAAGCTTTTCGAGTTGAAGTGCATCTTCAGTGTTGATCCTTGAGAAGAGTTCAAGGCTGACTAGGTGGTCTTGTGAACGTGGAGCTTGCTGTGGTAGTTCGAAGTTCGACCAAATGGTGGAGTTTGAAACGTTGTAAAACATGGAGTGTTCTTGCAACTAATGCTTAACTTTAGCTTTGTAATTAAACTATAAATGTTTACCATAATGGATTAGCTTTATCTAGACTTAGTCTCATGGATGTAAGTATGTTGTCGAACCATATAAAAATCTCTGGTGTTGTTTTACTTTGGTTTATTTCTATTGTTTTATGTTTGTGTTCAAAGAATTCTTAAAATCAACATAGCAACCATTTATGCTTATGATTAATTCGTTTTATAAAGGAATTAAAACTTTCACTACCACAAGGCTATTCACCTTGTTCTCTTTTCGCTATGTCTTGATCGTCAAGTACGTGTGTTTACTTGTACTAGTTATTCCTTTCTTCCACTCTCCTTTTCCAAACAATCCAAATATATACAATCTCTTAAACTTTTTGATGGCATGCAAATGGAAAAAATTAACATTAGCCTGAATTTGATTCAAAAGGATTACCTATATATGTATTTAAGGTGGATTTAATTCTTTAGTTTTAGAAATTATACAAGAAAAAAAAAAGAATTACAATACATCCTAATTAGATATGAATAGAACGAAGTATTTTTAAGGGAACAGTTTATATTGGCAGTGATGCATGGTGTAGAGATGGAAATGGAAGTAGTCATTTGATTTAATTAATTAGTTGATATGAACATATTTGAATTCAATTTCATTAAAGTAATTGATTCGTTTCTTTCTTATGTTCCCTGTCTTCACCCCTACTCATCAACCCATTCTCTCTGTTACGCCAACCTCCTGCAATCATGCTTTGGCTGCCCCACTTCTCCTGTTATGTAATCTATTTTTCAGACAGTTAAGGTTATGTTGTCATTAAATACCTTTATAAACTAATTTAATTTATAATATTAATAGACATAATCTTATTGACTTCCATTCTGGCAGCTAATTCCAGCTGGAATGAGCTGCGTTACTCACTGGACTGGCATCTGTTTTTCTTGGTTTTCAAATTGAATTTCATTAGCTTGTTTAAAGCATTTAACGGCATTATCATCTTAATTTGTTAATAAATGTGTGAATTTATAAGTGGTGGGGCTGTCACAAACGGTTGTTTTTGGAGATTTTTTTAAAGAAATAAAATAAAACATGATTATTTGATGAAAAGTCTTATTTAAAATAGTTAAATCTTGAAATTTCAAATATTTAGATGTACAAAAATTGCCAAACTCTCTCAGCGTTATCTTAAATTGATGTGGGGGCGAAGTGGTCCCCATGAAGGCCCCAATTAGCTGCGCTTATAGTTCAGGAGTTAACTTCACCAAAAAATGACTGACTGGTCCACCTGTTTACAAATGATACCTCATCTCCTAATTATCTCGAATTCTCGCGATTATTTTGTTCACTTATGCCGTTGGATATTTGCCACGTATCCCCTGATGCGTTGGATCCCACTCCTATTCCGTTTATAAGACAACTAGTTGTTATATACTTGGAATCCTTTGATTTGCTTTAAACGAAACCCAGCGGCGCTCCTTCTTTGTTCTTGTTTCAATCAGGGATGGCAGGTTTTGAGCAACAGGTGAAAGAGAGAGCCAAAGTGCTTAAGGTTTTGTTGAAGAAAGGTGTGAAGGTTGTGGGAGATTCATGCAAGAAAGGATGGCTCAAGGTCAAGCAGATGAGAAAATAGAGGCTCAATGAGTGGTTCATCTCCTTCTTTCACTTCTGTTCATCACTATTCTTATGCTGTTTTAGGTTTTATTCATGATGTAAAGATCTGAGTCAGTTTTTTCTTTTTGTTTTGTTTTTTTTTTTATATATATATATTTTGGGTTCGGTTATTAAAGCTGGAAGGATTTTTGTTTATTTTCTAATTTTTTTTAGGTTGTTGGTTTTTTTTTTTTTTTTTTTTTTTGCCCTTTATATATATATATATATATATATTATATAGTATATATAATAATATATCTCTTTGTTGAATTTGAGTCTTGTTGATTTATTCATGTTGGCTTTTGGTTGAATATTGATTTTTTCACCTGAGATACGAGTTTCATAATTTCAGTAGTTGCGTAGATATGAAGAAGATAATTGATTTTTTTAGCCCAACGGTAGAGATGCCAATAAATTTGCTTGTCCCTTATCAATATGAAGATTGTGTTATCGTGTTAACCGCTAGACTTTAATATTAAATTATTTTAAATGTACCAATAATTATGAAATTCTCTGCTACCAGTATGTAACAAGCTGAAGAAGAAGACGAACCTTCCTCATTGTCATGACAGCAGTTTATGGAGTGGTTGCCACTTACCAGTTTCAAAGTTACACATAGGCATAGCCGACCACTCCTGAAAATTAAGGACGGTCGGGATTAACTGGAACAGTTTGGATTAATTATTTTAATTATCAAGAGATATAGTTGAACTTGAATTAACACAAAATAACTTCAAGAAGTTGCATTTATTTTGGATTGATCCAAAAAAGTTGGATAGAAACGGAGAGCGTAAGAACATATAATTAAGATTTAAATGATAAAATTGTTGCATGTATACCTCAAAATTAGATGAAGAGATGAGCCAAATCCGAAAAAGGTAATTATATCTCTATCCTTTCATTTAAGTTGTATATATACATATTCAATTACATCATGGCAGTATGGCACATTAAAGTGTGTTTCTATAGTCTCTAAACTAAACTTTTTAAAGATTTATTTACTTTTAAATTAAAGATTGAGGATTTGATTCAAGGTAGAGTTGAATAATTATTTTGAGATAGAATTTAAAATTTAACCAAAAAAAAAACTCTTATGTTTGCTAATTTATTAAACACCATAATATATAAATTTTTTTTTTAAAATGACAAAAGCATCTTCACCCATTCATAGTGGCCAGATTCTGGCTATCACAGTCGGAATCTGCCGTTACGGCGTACAACTGGTCAAATCTAGCCAGTCGTGCGTCGATTTGGTCGGAAAAGGCCAGAACTATGGCCAGATTGACGCATTATCAGCTAGTTTTGACTAATAGTTCGTAGTTGTGACAGATTCCAGCCATCTCCAACGGTGATTGTCAGAATCTGGTAACTATGGGTGGATAGGGGTGTTTTTGTCAATTTATAATTTTTTTTTAAATAAAGGTATTTTTGTCAATTAACAAACCTAGGAGTTTAAATAGTTTCTTAATTTAGGATATTATTTTGAATATAGGGAAACAAACTTGCATCATGTATTTGTATTTGGGATAAGGACATTACATTTTCATTAGTTTTTATAATAAACAAATCGAATTTTTTTATCATACTAAAAAGTAAGAATGACGATCTTTGTTAAATTATTTAATAAACATAATACTTGTTTGTATAAAAACAAAAAAAAAATCATTTATAATTTGATAATTTTATTCTTAATATAATCTGACAACAGTCTATATTTGCTGGAATATTCATTCACTCAAAATTCCGATCCCATCTCTATTCATTACCATAATGCTATCTATCGTTTTAACGCGCCACATCCATCCATCCTCAGGCCTCAGCCGTTCATCATAACTCATCAACTCTCCCTGCATTCATCAACGTTAGCTACATCTATCATACTTCTCTGAACATAAGATCAGTTTAACTACTAACTAGTAATTACCCCTCACACAAATAACGTTAATCATATACCTCAATTGTACCATCAACGGCTCCTGATTGTACATAACAAATTATTATTGTACTCCCTTGAACACCATATCAGTTGATATATATTTAAGACATGTGGATCATGCTATTCTTTGTAAATTAATCAAATCAAAATCCTTTTGCAAAACTTCGCCAAAATCGGTTAAGAGTCGTTTCATTTTCTTTTTGTTGTCCTTTTTACATTCGATTCTCTTCCACTTTCCCTCGCTTTCTCACTGCCCAAACAGCGTCGAATTCTATTATTCTTTCCTCAAATGGAGATGACAATGGAGGATTCGTGCTCGCATCACGCTCTTCTTCTCTCCATGCTCGCGACGCGCTCTTGGTGTTGGACGGACTCGGCGGTTTGTCAAGATACCTATACCGAGTACGCGACGAATATGTCAAGTTAGGGTTTTCTAAGACTTTGTCGGTATTTGTTTGCTATTGCTTTTAGTTTTTGGTTTTTCTCTTTTCGGAACTGAAATTTTAAGTTCTTGAAATTCGTAGTAAAATAGGAAAATTGGTGGTATTCGTGGTTCAGAAATTGATGTTTGGGTTTCTGAGAAGTTCTTGTGAAATCTAAGTTCAGTAGGCTTTCTTATGGTTGTTGATACTGTTGTGCTGCAGTTTTAAGGAATTAAATCATCCTGAGTTTGAAATTAGGGTTTCAATGTTGTACGTATGAAATTAGTGTTTAGGGTATACTTGATTCCTGAAAGTATCTTTGCCGGTTGGATCTTGGAAGAATTGTTTATCGGGTTTGGGGTGGTATTGAATAAGTGTTCCTAGAACTGTTGCTAGAACTGCTGCTTCCTAGAACTGTTGCTAGAAATGCTGCTTCCTAGAAGGGGCTTTCAATTTGAGATATAACATTTTGGCGGGAAAATTTGTATGGCGGAAAGAGGGAATTAGCGCTTCCTAGAACTGCTGCTAGTAGCTAAGGGAAAATGGCTAGAACACTTAACAATGTCAGAGCACAAGGACACACGTATGGGAGCTTGTGAAGATGGGAAGCGGCTCATATTCTTTTGACTTTGTGGTTTCTCCGTGTTACAGTGATTCAGTGTTGTTTGATCATTTGAGGGTAATCTCACACTGAGAGGTTATCTGTGCTAGGTACTCTCTGGGACCAAACCCTGGCCTTTAATGATGGTGTTCTTTTCTTTGACAATTTCTGAGAAGAAAAACAATTAAAAAGATGAGGTTGTTGGAGTGTCACAACAATGATAACAATCAAGCTATTATTGATATACTGGAAATTGCAAACTCACAATTAGTGTGTGATGGGCTAGATGAGTCTGGGGAAGGACAATCGGAATCCATGCTAAGAATGGTGTTGTGGAAACTGTGATAAGGTGATTCCAGGAGTGTTCATAAAGAAGAATTACTGATTTGAAAGTTAGGTTCATTGGTGTTGGACAATTGCTGCGATGATGCTTCAAAAGGACAAGGGTTCCACTGAGATCTCTAAAATATGGTGTGAATGGTTGGGAAAGAGGGACCTATTGACGAGGACA